AATTTTATTGCCCAGTATTAAATCGTTTTTTTTTTCTCCCGCAAGATGCAGGTGATGAAAATAAATTTGTTCCATTTTTTCTTCGGAAGGATCCTCTGAAGATCATCCTATAAAATGAGCAATTTGCAAATATGAAGAAAGTACTCGAGAAGTGTCACGATCAAATGAGTGAAGAAATGAATGATCAAGTTTCATTATACAGGACTACCAAAACTCAATAAAAACTAAGCTATTAATTAACCTGCCTAATCTCAATATTTTTAACATGCTCCTGCATTTCAATAATCGCCCTTCTGATGATCACTCTTTTTTAGACTTGCTCTTCTCATGTGAAACCTTGTACACAATGCAGCTGAAATTTCCATACAACCCTTAACTTTCTGTTATTCAGAGTGCCTCCTCAGACACATGAGCAGAACTCAAAGAACTTTCTAGAAACAAGAAAGACTAACACGGAACATGTTGAACAACAGTGCTGGACTATCTCGTCTTTGCCAACAGAATGAAGATAAATCACATCGCCCCAAAATGCAAATGACAGCCATGAGGGCAAGGGAATCAATGGACAAGGTGCAGTACTGCAGCCACGGGGGTAATCTAGTATTCCAGCAAGGTTTTCGACCCCTACGAGAAGGCCCAGGAAAAAAAGAAAAGAAGGAGTAAAACCCCTTCCCTCGTCAACAGCTGCCTTCTCGTTCCAGAGAATATTCAGAAGACATGGTCACAACCACGCAGGGTGCAAAAAATAAAGAAGATAAAACCTTAAAAAAAAACGTTCTGCATGAAACAGAAAAGAAATCCTTACTAACATGAGAGAATTTCTGCCAAAGAGCAGCTCGTTTTCAGCAGTAAGGAACTGGAAACCGATTTTTTTCAAGTAACGAAAAGTGCGATCAGGTCGTAAGTAAATTATTCGTGAAATGCAGTCAAGTTAAAAAAGTAATCCCGCTAATTTCCATTATATCCTACCCGCTACTCAAAATTGTGAAAAGGCAAAAATGCGGACTTTTCAGTCGCGTGCTCTCGATTGCAACGCTCAAAAATTTATGTTGCGCACAAAAAAAAAAACGAAACGCTCTCGATGCAAAATGTGAAAATGCGTCCTAACTCCAAGAAAGTCAAATATTTTATTCATTCAACGCACCCCTCATGGCTCCTTTATCCTCAGATCACTCCTCGTCGTTAATAATTGCCCGACTTCATTCTTCAGAGCTTCAGCATGAATGCATTATGTTCGTGCAAAAAAAAAACAAAAAAATGAGCAAAAAGGGGGGATATCTTTTTTTTCCCCTGGATGTTCTCGGCACTGATCCCGTAGAATTGAGTCAATTTTCCGCGACGTGATCATGAGAGTGGTGAGATGGAAGAATATTTCCAAGAACCCTTGCTGGGGATAAAAAGCTTGCCTCCCCATCATTGCTTTCATGTTCCATTTCCGGAACAACAACAAAATTTTCCTCACGCTTTTCAGCATAGATAAAAAGAACTGAAAAAGCGTACAAATGATCACCAAGATGAGTTTTCAGGCGTTGTCGCACTTATGGGTTTGAAGTCAAAATTATTTTATTTCCGCCCGACTCCCGATAACCCGACCCATAATACTTGAAATACAGTACAGCAGTTTCTTTATTTTTGTCAGAGTTATAAGTTAACAAAAGACGACAAAATGACAGCAAATATGCGCATTTAACTGCTGGAACTCAAACACGAGAGCTTCGTGCAGCAAATACAAAGACAGGTCTAATTCGCTTCTTCATTCTCACACAGAGAGGTCAAAAATATCTTTTCACAAATTCTCAGAAAATCATTTTATGTCACAGTTTGGAAAAGAATATGAGTACCTATAGAGTGATCATTCGTTACTTATCTTCAGACTTTTGTTATGGAAACTAACTTGATTTAAACTTTCCATAGCACAACAAAAGCAGAGAGCATTTTTTTGTTT